TAAAACTATCATGCTTGATACCAGTCCAGACTATTCATAGACATTCGTCTAAATTCAACTCCATCAATAAGTTCCCCATTAGGGTGGCTGATTTAACGGACCAACATAATTCATGCAACTCGACCACCACACTCTTTATGAACGTACTAAATTGACTCAATTACAAGAATACTGAAATAGGAAAACTCCTCTAAATAGATGGGCATAAAAGTGAGGAGTAGTACGAAACTGGTCATCACGGACAATACTAACCTGGAAGGAATGAAATAGAATCCTGTTGTAGCCCAAAATGAAACATTTAGGAGTGCAGAAACCCCCAAAGCGAGCATTTAGGAGTTCACAGGTTAAGGCCAATTACCATCAAAGAAGCACAAGATTTTTCAGTTGACAGCAAAAAGAGTAATTCCATTGAGACGCTGACTTCTGTATAACAAATGAGGGAGGGAATGGGGTGCACTCATTTAGCTTCATCTGTGCCTACATCAGGTTTCCTCAGCATCTCTTTTGTAAGGTAACACACACCTACACCAGTTCGACGAAACTCTGCTCTGCGCTGGAGGTATTCCTCCTCAAATTTCTTCATCTGCTCCGGATCTTGAACCAGTCTGCAAGAGAACAATTGATAATACGAGCAAAATAATAGCCAAGGCCACACAAAAGAAACGTTAAAATTAAAAGTCTTAATTATTATTACCCACGGAGCAAATGAGCAAGTTGTGAGGACGAAAAGGTAATATAGGGGAGAAGTTACGTATTTTGACACTCATTGACCAGAGCGAATTCCAACTTGCACTTGCGCGAGGGGACCAAACTGTCCTTATGAGCGCGGATACAAGAACGCCAATGACGCCACTCACGCTCACACAGATCGAACATAAGACGTTCTTTAACGAATTTGGAGAACAACGTGCCTCGCTCTGTATCCCCAATGGTGCGGTCGTCTGGATCTCCATATCCTACCGGACCGCCTTTATAGCCTCGATAGGCTGTCATTGACTGGGTAAGGTAAGACAGAAACAGCGGTTTCTGCATTTAATATGTACAGATTAACAAAATTTTTGAGATCCGCATAGATAACCTATTCGTAGTAAGTTCATGATAAGTGCAGACAGTCCTTCAACTAAGACACTACCAAATACTTCAGAAAACAACATTCGCTGTGGAAAAACAAGCTCAGCAGGCATACCCAGTTGAGCCAATAGGAAGGCTGGTCTACATTACAGCCACCAAGGTGAGGGAGGAAAAAAGCAACGGCGATGGAGACGTCTCAAAAGTTTAAAAATTGGCTCAACCAAACATGCTTTCGAAAGTTTAAAATATCGAATTACATAACACCGCTAAGAATGCCGCTTGGTATTTCCGAAACAGGTGCACTTTACAAATGTGTTTCTCCATGCTAAGACAGTACCAATTAACTTCGGCAATAATAAAATTGAATTGGAGTGCATGTAAATTCGGTTGATGCGGTTGACACCAGACAGCACAAAACAGACATACGACTCAGTACACATGGACTTTGTGCTTCAGGGTAGGGAATGCAGAGCAGAGGTGGTCTCGGTGAGAAGCACACTGCCACCTAATGTTTTCGACGAAATTCCGTTATTTTGCTCCCAAGTCAGATTAATGTTCTGCAGCATACAAGCCCACAAGAACCCTGCTAAGTGGAAAACAGATAATGGCAAAGT